AACTAAAAGGAGCTTCAGTATTTTCGAAGATCGATCTACGTTCGGGTTATCATCAATTGAAGATCCAGGAGAAAGATATTCCGAAGACAGCTTTCAGAACGAGATATGGTCATTATGAATTCATCGTAATGCCATTCGGAGTAACGAATGCACCTGCCCCTTTCATGGATCTCATGAACAGGATTTTTCAGCCCTATCTGGACCAGTTTGTTGTTGTCTTTATTGATGACATACTGGTTTACTCGAAGTCCATTGAAGAGCACAGCACACATTTGAGGCTAGTTTTGCAAATTCTCAGGGATAAAAATCTATATGCGAAATTGTCTAAATGTGAATTTTGGTTAGACGAAGTAATTTTATTAGGGCATGTGATCTCGGCAGTTGGGATTAGAGTAGACCCTCAGAAGGTTAAAGCTATAATGGATTGGGAAGTTCCTAAGAATGTGTCTGAAGTTCGGAGTTTTCTGGGACTTGCCGGTTACTATCGAAGATTCGTTAAGAATTTTTCGATGATTGTACTGCCTCTAACAAAGCTAATGAGAAAGAATGTACCATTTGTTTGGACTTCTGAATGTCAAGAAAGTTTCGAAGCTTTAAAGAGAATTCTGACAGAAACTCCGATATTGGTTCAACCGGAATCTGGCAAGAATTTTGTAGTATACAGTGACGCATCCCATAACGGGTTGGGGTGTGTATTAATGCAAGAATGAAAGGTGGTAGCGTATGCATCGAGACAGTTAAAACCACATGAATGAATTACCCCACTCATGATTTAGAAATGGCTGCTGTAGTATTCGCTCTCAGGATTTAGCGTCATTATCTTTATGGGGAGCGTTGTTACTTATATATGGATCATAAGAGCCTGAAATACCTGATGACTCAAAAAGAATTGAATTTGAGGCAACGTAGATGGGTAGAGTTCTTAAAGGATTATGATGTGATAATTGACGATCATCCCGGAAAGGCTAATGTGGTAGCAGATGCTCTGAGTAGAAAGACATTTGCAGCTTTACGAGCTATGGATGCAAGATTATCTTTAATGGGAGACGGTAGTCTTTGTGCAGAATTAACCCTTAAACCAGCATGGTTGGAACGAATAGGAGAATTGCAAAGTAAAGATGAAATGTGTTTGAAAAGAATGGAACAAGTAAAGAACAAAGAGATTAAAGACTTTGAGGTTAAGTCAGATGGAAATTTGTATTTCAAAGGAAGAATTGTGATACCCGACAATGAAGATTTGAAGAAAGAAATATTGACAGAGGCTCATTGTAGTCCATTGACGATGCACCCGGGTGGAACCAAGATGTATATGGATTTGAAGGATCGATTTTGGTGGTCAGGGATGAAGCGAAGCATCACAGAATTTGTGTCTAAGTGTTTGATATGTCAACAAGTCAAAGCCGAGCATCAAGTTCCATCAGGATTATTGCAACCGCTTTTCATTCCTCAATGGAAGTGGGAAAATGTTACGATGGATTTTGTTTCGGGGTTACCCTTGACCCCGAACAAAAGAGAATCCATCTGGGTAATTGTTGATCTATTAACTAAGTCAGCGCATTTTCTTCCGGTTGGAACAGATTTCTCTATGGAAAAGTATGCAGAGCTGTATATTAGAGAAGTTATTAGATTGCATGGAGTACCTGTTTCCATAGTCTCTGATCGAGACCCTCAATTCACTTCTAGATTCTGGAAATCTTTGCATGAAGCGTTGGGAACTCGTTTAAACTTTAGTACGGCTTTTCATCCTCAGACTGATGGGCAATCAGAGAGAACTATTCAGATATTGGAAGATATGTTGAGAGCATGCGTAATGGAATTTAAAGGATCATGGGAAAAGTATTTACCGCTGGCAGAGTTTGCTTACAACAATAGTTATCAGTCTAGTATAAAGATGGCCCCATATGAAGCATTATATGGAAGAAAATGTCGTACTCCATTAAATTGGTATGAACTCAAAGACCGAAGTGTTCTTGGTCCGGATTTAATTCAAGATGTAGAACAGAAAGTTCGAGAAATTCAGCATAACCTCAAAGTGGCCTCTGATCGGCAAAAGTCCTATTCTGATCTTAAAAGGAAAGAAATTGAATTTCAAGTTGGAGATAATGTGTTTTTAAAAGTGTCTCCATGGAAGAAGGTGTTGAGATTTGGTCGAAAAGGAAAATTGAGTCCTCGGTTTATTGGACCATATGAGATTGTAAAGAAAGTAGGACCTGTAGCATATCAGCTAACTTTACCACCTGAGATGGAAAAGATACATGATGTCTTTCACGTTTCAATGCTTCGAAGATATCGATCGGATCCCTCCCATATTGTAAATCCAGAAGAGATCGAGGTACAACCGGATATGACTTATGAGGAAGAACCGATTCAAATTTTAGCACATGAAGTTAAGCAATTGAGGAACAAGACTATTCCTTTGGTCAAATTGTTGTGGAGAAATCACAAAGTAGAAGAAGCAACGTGGGAGCGTGAAGAAGATATGCGACATCAATACCCTCATTTGTTCGTGCAATAAAAAATTCGAGGACGAATTTTCTTAAGGGGGAGAGATTTGTAACATCCTCCATGCCGGGTTAGTGATTAAATTGCAAAGTTTCAACATTTGGTGATTTAAGTAAAATGATGGAAGAGTGTAATGATCTATTTGAGTTATTTGGTGTAGGATTGAATTATAAAGAAGGGAATTAAGAGGGTAAAAGAGTAATTGAGTAAATGAAATAATTAAATATTACTTGGGGATTATATTAGAACCACGTAGGCATTAGGTTTCCAGAATTCTCTCATTTCTTCTTCATTCTTCCTTATTTTCTTCTCTTCCTTCTCCCAACGTGAAGCTTGCAAGTAAAGGTAAAAATCTGAACCTTGGTAGTTTCTTTGATTTTTAGATTGGAAATGGAAGTTTGGATGTTATATAAGCTAAAGGAAAGCTTATATGACATTAAGACAACAAGATGAGTGTTTTAGATATAGATTTGGAAAATGAATTTTTAGATGAAATTTTGATATGAATGAGTTTTTGAAGTTTGAATAAGATTTTTGACTTGTCAAGAAGCTAACTAAGAAGTATGAGGTGTTAGAATTCAAATTATAACATATTGGAATTTGGGTTAGATTCTTAAATTCTACATGGAGAATTAGATTTCTAAGTTTTAGAGGTATTTAATGGATAATAATTAGTTAAAGTAAGTGTATGAAAGCTAAGAGTAGTAAAGAGTGAAATATGTATGTTTGAGCTGAAATGGGATGATTTCCGAGCTCAAAATAGGATTTTTGGGCTAGGGGAATCGATACCCATTCAAGGGGAACCGATACCCCTCAACGAATATGAAATTCCAGAATGCTAGAGGGGAATCGATACCCCCAGGGGGGGAACCGATTCCCCCATGAGAAAAAAAAAGAAAGTAAAGAAAGAAAGATTAAGCTATTAATTCCTTAGATTGGTAAGATATTAAAGATTAATTTCAAGACATAGACATCTGATAATCATCTTGAAAATTATGTTTATGTATATACCGAGCCTACACGAGTTCGGGAACAATCTACCATAGGATCGATCGAGGAAAAGGCAAAGAAGTATAGGTGAGTGCATATGCATAGCATGATTATAGAAATATACTCCATTCTAGACTTGTGATAAGTCTAGATTTTATATCTTGGTACATGAGCATATTCTGTATTATGAGACATGACATGAGTTCATATAAAATGCATTATATGACATGAATATGTGGGAAAAGTTATGAGCTATGTGAAAAGGTAAGAAATTACATGTCTACGCGATATAGACTACGTGAAATGTAAAAGCCCATGTTATGTAGATGAGAACTATAGGTATAGTTGGCATGCCAAGGGTAGAGGGTCTACGCGGTTCCTTGGGACATATGTATATTCTTTGGAACATGTGTGAGGTTTTGAAAGACACATACTTGATCCATAGTATATGTATATGATTCTTAAAGAATTCTATGTGGTCCTTATGGACATTATTATAGGGCACTACGGTGCAATTCTACGCGGTTCTTTGGGACATATGTATATTCTTTGGAACATGTGTGAAGTCTTGAAAGACACATACTTGATCCATAGTATATGTATATGATTCTTAAAGAATTCTATGTGGTCCTTATGGACATCATTATATGGCACTACGGTGCAATTCTACGGGGCACTTCGGTGCATTTATACGAGCTGTGGTGACAGCATAGTGCACAACCTCACATTACTCCGATACCTTAGGTTCTCAATATGCTATCATGAGCCAATAAACTTATTAATACAGATTCATGAATGTTACAGTCATACGCTTACAGGTATGGATATTAATGATGTATACTACATTGATTAAGTACATGTTTGCATCTCATTTCATATGATCATGACATTTTCATTACATTGTCTTGTTATTATTATTGCCTCACTAAGTCGATGACTTAGCGTGTGAGTGTTTCACACGTAGGATCCGAGGAAATAGACGAGACAGGTGAAGCAGCTTGACAGTATTACTCCTGCAACCATCAGATCAGAAGCAACTTAATCAGTAGGTCATTTTGTTATGTAAATGGCAGTTGGCATGTAATTAAAGGGTTAAGTTGTGTATGCTCTGAATATTTTGGTAAACTTATATTACAATATGTATATTATTGTATTTTCTTAATATAAGTTCAAATATTTTACTATTATTAGTTAAGAGTTGTGTTTTAAAGTCAATGTAGTATCTCTGACTCATATCCGGGTCGGGTATGAGTTGGGGGTGTTACACAACCTGCTATGGAATTTTACGTAGTTTTAAAACTAAGCCAAATCTATGTTATGGCTACACAAGCAAAAAGCTAAAAGAGGATGAGGTAAAAAAAAGGGTAAGAAAACAAAGGCAGCTTCAACAATAAACACGAAGTTCTCCATACCGAAATTCATTTGACATCGAAAAAAAAAAAGTGAGTAAATTCTTTAGAGAATAATACAAAACGATCCTACACTCCTTCTTCCTCACCCTTTCTCTTACCTTCCACTACACGTCTTCTTCTTCTTCTTCTCTTTCTGGTTCATTTTCCTTTTGTTTAATTTAAACAATAATGTCCGCAGATCTTGGATCACTCCAAGATTTGGCGAAATCAAAATTACCCAAACTGAACATTCAATCTTCCAATCAAAGCGGAATCGAAATCCATAAAAAAATCAAGAATCAAGACGAAAGTAGCAGCGAGTGTTCCACGCCGACCTCAGAGGAAAACAAGATCCCAGCAGTTTTGTCATGTCCGGGAGCGCCAAGGAAACCTAGGAAAACACATGTTTCGTGTAAGCGGAAGCTGTCGGAATTCGACTTCTTCGAGATCGTCAACAGAGATGAAGTCGATGCGTTTTTCGAAGCTGGTTTTCATGATCCCATCGCGAAAAGAAGGTGCCCACGTACATGAAATAATTATATATATTTGCTTATTTATGGGTTTTTACATGTAATTTTATTTATTTATTTATTTTCTGTGTGCATTGAATTGAAATTACACGCAATTCCCTACCACTGGGATTCAATTTTTTTTAGATAAAGTCCTGTAATAATCAGACATATTTTGTTTGGTTCATGGATCCGATCGACATGCATGTTAAACCTTTTTCATTTATATTGATTTACTTTCCAATTTAAATAAATTTATGGGTATATAATGTATTTACTTCTTTTCTTTTTTGAAATTAAGGGATTATAATTTTATTTTCTTCATCATATATATTGTGAGAGCAATATGTGAACTTGTTAATCTAGGTTTTTAAAAATTTAGATCATGGTTGATGATGGATAAAATACACATTTCCTTATAAATTTATTATTATTTTGTTAGTTGTTTGGTCAAAAATGGCTTGATTTGTAAGGATGGATAACTTTTTAAGTAATTTAGGTGGCTTTGGGATCTGTCATAACTTAGTAGATTTGAAGTTTTCGGAGATGATTTTTTCTCGAGAAAGTGATAGAAAGTGGGAATGGTGCAACGTGCTTTGGGCATATGCAGATGTTTTGTCTCTTTTGGTAAGAAATCATTGATTTCGTGTTTGTTTTTTTAATTGGGAGAGATAAAATATATTTTGTTTAAAAAATTGGGGATTATTTTGTAAATTTATTATATAAACTTTTTAATTAACTAAGTGGTTAAAGATACTTATGTTGTCTCATCTAGGTTTGAATTTTGACACGATCTTAAAAAAATAATACCTCTTTACTTAATTAAAAAAAGGGTAAATTATATGTTTAGTATATAACTATCATTTTTATTTAGTTTTAGTCATCTAATTATTTTTCTTTTCAAAATAATATCTAACGTTGTTTGGGTCATCTAATTATTTTTCTTCTCAAAATCATATGTAATGTTGTATTTTGGTTTCATTTTGGTCACTCAAAGTTAAAAAATTAACAAAACTACTGACATAACATCTTTTATTTTTTTTCAATAATGATGTGGCATTATCTTATGGTGACACGTTAGCATCGTTAATTCTTTAACAATGGATGATCAAAATTAAACCAAAATGTAATATTAGATATGATTTTAAAATAAAAAATAATAATTGAGTGACCAAAATAAAATAAAAATGAGTAAACATGTAATTTGTCCTAAAAATTAAGAAAAATGGATGAGGTTAGAGGACTACAGCCCCTCCCTTGTCCCTGTTTATATTATTTAAAAATATACTTTTTGATAAATTTAGAGTGAATACATGTATCTATTTAAAGATTATCTCAGCTATTTGACAATGAGCATTCATGTACTCTTACATATGCGATGTTTGAATTTAAGACTTTAAGGGATAATAATAAATCCTTTAATCAGGGATGGAATGAAGGAGGACAGGTGGTGGTATTTTTAATTGATAATATATTTTCAACCCCTAGAATTTTATAAGTCCGTTCCCTCGTAAAATTTTAGAAATTCGTCTCTCATAACATAAAATTTTGCGTCCATTCTTATCTTTAATTATATATATTATTTGGTTGGTATAAAATTATAATCGGTTGATCAGTGCATAAACAAATAATTGTCTGAATAAATAACGTCTAATATTTTAATTTTTAAAGATGTTCTAAAAGATTTGAGGACGTGGTCTTCGTTTTGGGCTTAAACTAATTGGGCCTTATGTTAGTTTTGATTCAGCTTAGACCAATAGTGACCTTAACAAAGATTTTCAAGTCAAGGACATTTTTGTCTAAAATTTGTTCAACTTCTCGAATTAATTCCACTAATCACAAGAATTCATCAATGCCATTATAATCAACTTTTTAATCATCAAAATTTATGATTGATTTATTAAGATTCATATTTTAATTTTTTTTGTAATTAGTTTTTCATCCTGAAAAGGAAAGTTATATACGAGAAAATGGAAATTAAATAAAAAATACAATTTTTTTCTAAAACTAGAAGAAAAAGAAACCCTAAATTTAAAATTGATTTTTATACCTAATGTTAAAATTAGTCCCTACTATTTAATTGAATAATTATTTTGGTCCTTATTATTTTTTTAAGCATTTTAACATCTAATATTTCATTTATGACTCCCGATTAAATAAAAACCGTTAATTAATTAACTTTCAACGTTTATCGTTTATCGTTTATCATGACAATATTATAGGTCCATATTTTAATATTAATATTAAAATTATATATGATTTTTTGGATAATTTATATATATATATATGAGAAAATCGCCTCAGTGACCAAAAATGCCTTATAATATACGATTTTAACCAACTTTTTTTGGATTTGCCAAAATGACCAACAAAATCGCAACGCGAAATAAAAATCGCAACGCGATCCCCAGAATCGCAAATCAGTTTCCAAAATCGCAACGCGATTCTTGAAAATCGCAATGCGATAGTACAAATTCGCATTGCGATTTTCCAGAATCACAACGCGAATATGAAAATCGCAACGCGAACACATAAATCGCAACGCGTATCCGTAAACCGCAACGTGTATCCGTAAATAGCAACGCGTATCCGTAAATCGCAATGCGTATCCGTATATCGCAACGCGTATCCGTAAATCGCAACGATAATCCGTAAATCGCAACGAGGATCTGTAAATCGCAACGATAATCCGTAAATCGCAACGAGAATCTGTAAATCACAACACTGAAATTTTGGGTATATAACTACGCAACAACAACAAATCATAAACTAAATCCCTAAATCGCAACTCATTCCATCTCCATCTATCACTCTCTCCGGCGACATCCGTTCCTATATCCAACGACATCCTTCCCAATCCGACAACAGGTTTTAGTTTCGCAGCTCGTCTGTTTAGTAAATTAATTTACAACCATGAAATCATCTAATGTTGATCATGTTTGGATAGATTTGTGTTTTGGAGGGTCATGGGATAATGTTCATGGTGTTTTACAATATATGCCTTTACCCATGAATCTTCAACTAAAATTGTCTTTACAAAAGTTAACTTATGAGACTCTAATGCTACGTGTTTCAAATAAATTGAATTTAGAGCCCCTAAGTGGATTTAGGCTATCTTATCAGAGAAATGGTAAAGTTTATTTGTTAACCGACAATGAAGATGTTGAACGATTCATTGCTTACATTAGTGTTTCACAAGATGATGTTACATTGTATGTTGTTGAACCTAGAAGTAGTATTGTTGGGTCAGTAGCGGGTAGTAATCAACTAAGTTTTTCTCAAAACCCACAACCTTTCTCTAATCCAAATCCCAATCAACTTTCAGCACCAAATTCCGGTTTTCGTATTGACCAGTTAGACGATAATGAGCCAACAGAAAAATTGTGAGTACTAGTCAGTATTCGAAATTTGGTCTTGGTCAATATCCGGACTTTGATATTGGTCAATACACGGATTTTGATGATGTTTCAGAAGAAGAAACAGACCCTGCGTGTAATGATTTTGATATTGGTCAATACCCGAATTTTGATGACGAAACAGCCGTTGCCGAAGAATGTATTGTTGATGATAATGAGGATGAAGTTACGACTGTGAATGAACATGTTGAACATCCATTCTGTAATTCATATAATCCTGAAGAAGAAAAAGAAGAAGAAAAAGTCCCCGAAGAAAAGAAAATGCCACGGGCGTATAACTGGAATATGCCAGAATTACTTCAGATACCGGAAGAAGAGTTGGTAAAGAAAGCAGTTGATTGTTACACAAAAGTTATTCGTATCAAGAAAGATGATTGTTTTGATACAAAGGAAGACTTGAAGATAGCTTTGTATACGAAATGTGTGGAAGATGGCTATCAACTAAAAGTTAACAAATCAAGCAAAGATCGTTTCGAAACAAGGTGTATGATTGACAAAAACTGTACGTGGCGTATGATTACAAAGAGAATAAAAGATTGCGAAATGTTTCAAGTTAGGACTTTTATTGATAAACATACATGTTCAAGAACCCAAGTTTTTCCTCACCATAGACAGGCAAACAAAAAGGTGTTGGGTGGTTTTCTGGCTGAGTTAATGTTTTTGAATGGCAGGGTATATCGGGGACATGAAATTATGACTGACATGAATGCTCGGTTCAAGATTAGTATATCATATTCTCAAGCTTGGAGAGCCAAATGTTATGCCTTGGAATTGTTGAGGGGGTCGCCAGAAGCATCGTTTGCCCAATTGCCGGCTTATTGTCACAATTTAAAGCTGAAAAATCCTGAGTCGGTAACTCATATCAAAACAGATAGAGATGGACACTTTGAGTTGCTGTTTATCGCCATTGGTGCTACGGTTAGTAAATCAATATAATTTTGTTGACTCATTTTTGTTAGTTACATGCATTTCACATTTAAATGATTATATTTCTTGTGTATATTATTTTGTAGATTCGTTCGTTTATTACTTGCATGCGCCCAGTTATTATAGTTGACGGAGCACATTTGAAAGGTCGATACCTTGGAGTAAACTTATTAGCAGTAGCCATGGATGCTAACAATGGGATATTGCCAATAGCTTACGGGGTTGGCAAATCTGAAACCTCTGATTCATGGACATGGTTTATGGGGCATCTTAGGGATTGCATAGGTCCTATTAGCAATCTGACAATCATATCCGATAGGGCAAACTCAATTGACAACGCTGTTAGAAGGTGTTTCCCAGATGCTTTTCATGGACTTTGTGGTGTTCATTTGTATAGAAATCTAAAATCAAGGTCTGCTGGTATAAAAAAGCACAAATGGACATACTGGAAGGCTGTAAAAGCTTATCGGGAAGTGGATTTCAATAAGCATATAAATTGTTTAAGACGTGTTTTGCCTCAGTGTGCTCAAACACTAGAAGATGTCGGGTTTGAAAGATGGTCAAGAGTACATCAACTTGGAGCAAGATATGGTTTCATGACGTCTAATAGTGCAGAATCAATCAACGCTCTAAGTCGTCATTCCCGGAAATTACCCATTACTATGTTAATGGAGTTTTTTCGAGCCTCTATTCAACAGTGGTACTACAAGAAAAGAAACCATGCAGGTATTATTTCTTTGAATTCGTAACTTATCATATTTATATATTTTACTAAGTATTGTTTATTTAAATTTACAGGAACATTGGAACATCGTGTTACACCAT